CAAATTTTATCGAATCAAAGAGTAATCCATCTGTTGTCAGTCTACCCTAGCTTGTCAGTCTTACAGTTTCCCAAAAGAAGGTTTGGTAGGGCTGGGAAGTGGGGAAAAGTCCCTTATTCATACCATTCATACTAATTCATTAGTATGAATGGTATGAATAAGGGACTTTTATAAGTCAACATTATTCTCTATTAAAAATTACACCCTACTTAATTAAAAAGAAAGATTTATCTGAACATAACTTGATTTAAAGTCATCAGACTGGAGAGATTGTACAGGTTGCTTGTCTTAAAGGCAATGAACCTGGGTTCCATTCCTGGCACCACATATGGTCCCCTGAGCCCTGCCAGAAGTGATCCCTTAGAGCAGAGGCAGGAGTAAACCCTGAGGACCACCGGATATGGCCCAAAAGAAAACAAACAAAAAAGTAAAACAATGGAAATACCAAATACCTTCCATCTCCTCCTTTCTCTTGAAGTTCAATTCCCACTCCACCCCAACCATCTGTTCATTCTCCTGGTGTAGGATGATTTTATGAAACAGAGACAAAAAGTTTCAGGGACTGGTGAGATACTACCATAACTAAGACTGACTTCTGTTCAGTCCCCACCTTCCTATTTGATTTCCTGAACACCATCAGGTGCAAACCCTGAGCACAGCTGGGTGTGGCTCTAAAGCAAAGTAAGCCCCCCATAAAAGGTTTTGTGCAGATTTGTAACCCGTAGTTTCCCATGATAATTGCATTATCCTCTTCATTTGTCTTTATCCTTTTTCCAAGTATTGGTCCAAATAGAACTTTGGCCTCCTCTAGCACATTTTAATGTTTTGTGCCTTTTTGAACTCCACTCATTTTCTATTTCTTTCATCTTCTACTTATAATTCCTCCCTTGAACGCATGCCTTCACAAATATCTAAAGAGCTGAGTTTTTTCCTATGTTATAATTCTACCTTTTCATATCTCCCTGTAGTCATAACAAAACCTATCTTGTCAAAGGCCATGTAATAAAACATCTTGTTTCTAGAAACTAATTTGGCTGCTGGTGGGACTGTAAATTATTCATATCAATAAAAGTGTGGTGTATGTGGATGCTTTGACTTAGATTTGAATTCAAACATGGGGTTTCATTTAGATTTCACATAGAGCAACTCTCTGAAAGTACAAGGGGATCACCCCCCAAGATACCATCTTACTCTGCATTCCTTTCCAAAGTTTCTGTAACATCTTGATCTAAGTCTTAGCTTTTTAGAAAATAATAAAATAACAAGCCAAAGTTGACTGTGAAAAATCTACCTTTTTTTCCTTTTGGTTTGGGGTCATATGCAGCAGTGCTCAGGGGCTCTTCCTGATTTTGTAACCAGCAATTACCCTTGTGACATGCCAGGATGAAACAAGGAGTGACCATATGCAATGCCAGAGATCAAACTAGGGTTAAACAAAATAGCCACGTGCAAAACAAGTACCTTCCCCCTGTACGATCTCCCTGGTCCTAAACCTACTATAAATAGGTTCTAAAATTGTGCTTTCACCTATGTAAGAGATTCAGGTGATAGAGAAAGATATTTCTGGAAGATTGCACTTCAGGCAGGTTTACAAGCTGAAGCCAAGGCTATGGCATTGCTAGGATAATCTGTTTCCCTGGGATACTAATTAACTCCAAATATTACATATAAATTAAGCCAACAGCTACTGAAAGCAGCATCTTAATGGAAAGAAAAGCCTAGAGGTTTCAAAGGAAATCACTGTCTTCCGATTAGAAAAAAAGGCATGGGGTACTAGAAGTTCCTCCTCTCTCTCTTTCCTCCTTCTCAACATTCTACTTGTCTTCTAGAAGCCTTCGTCCTTTTTGTCTTTCATTTTCCTTTTTCCACTGCAGCAGGAGTGATTTATCATTAGTAAACTTGGGGAAGTGTTTCTTACTGTAGCAGCCTGCCCAACCCACACCATCCTTGTCCCTTTAATAGGGAAGCTGTTCTTAAGTAACCTGCTTTCCTAGCCCTGGTTTCCAACACAGTTGGCCATAAAAAACCCAAGTTCCTCCCTCCAAGATTCTGGTTCAGTGCATCTTCGTTGTGTTAGGACCTTGGGATCTGCTTGTTCATCAAGTGAGCCAGCAAGTTCCCGGCTTCCTCTCTAAAAATTAGTCACAGCCCCTGACCCTGCAGTGGAGACGGTACTGGCAATTTAACCAACAGCCATCCTCCCTCTTTCCAGAAAGTTTGTTTTGCTGTTAAATGTTAAATGTTTAGAATAGTGGGAGGGGAGTTATTTTGAGAATACAAATGTACAAATCACATATTCTAAATAAATTCAGCAGTCCTGATTTACTGCTTCAAATCAGGACTACAGTATAATCACTGACCTTCTGTGGCAGCACTGCTAATGCCAAGTTTCATTTAGAACATAGCAACACTTTCTTTTTGTTTTTGGGTCAGACTCAGCAGTGCTCAGAGCTTCTCCTGGTGCTGTACTCAGGAGTCACACCTGGCTGTGCTGGGGGACCATGTGGGAAGCCAGGGATTGAACCTGGCTTGACAACATGAAAGGCAAGAGCCCTTATCCACTGTATTATCTCTCCAGCCCTTAGAACATAGCAACATTTTCTGATTCTCTTACTAAGCTAAACCAACCACTGAAAATCATGTGTCACAGCCACTGGAAGCAAGGAAAACAGCCAAAATAAATATGCCAGCTGAGCCCTACACAGAACCCCATTTAATCCTAATGTTTAAACAGGTTAGCTGCAAAATTCTACAGTTATCTAAGTAAACTTTTGTCTTGAAAAGGATTGCAGAGACATTTCTGTTAAGGTCTAAGTGCACATATCTGTCATCCCCATAACCCAGAGGGGAAAAAATGTGGGTCTGCTATTTGACTTTATTATACTATAGTTTTAAGGTTGAACATATTGTGTCTGATTAACACTATGACTTGAGAGTATGAAGAGGCATCAATGGCCATTAGTATCACTCATGTGTGTCTGCATGAAGTACCTAATTGTGTATTTTCTCATAAAAGCTTGTAAATATACAAAACTATCATATTCACCTCCTTCTGCCCTAAAAAATCCTAACCTAAAAGGCCATTCTTAGAACAGATAAACATTCCTTCTACACTATCAGATTACTTCTACTGAGTAAATTACCATTTATATGTGCACCATACTTCTGAATTCTCTTATTAAATCCTAACTTTGGGTTTGTCTACCAATTGCTAATTTCTATTTGACCCTACAAATTTTGCCTGTATCAACTGCACAGGTTTGTTTCATGTGTTGGCCAAAAAATGAAAATAGGTTGATGAAAACATTCTTGTGAGCCAGTTATCATTCAAAAATGGATTTTAGAAAGGTTTTTCTATTAGTTCTCTGCAGGGTATAATTAAATGTATGCGACTGTAAAGAAAATAACAGAAAAGGGAGAGGAAAAGAATGTATAAATAGAAGTAAAGCACAAAAGACATTGTTTGAAAATTAGGCTAGACATGTGTTTGACCAGGGCTCAATCTCCAGCACCATGTGACCTCCTGAGCATCACAGGAGTCCCTGCAAGAATCACTGACTGTGGCACTGGAGTCTCACCCCCACCACCACTAACTTTATTCCCTAGTTGGCAGGGCACTAGCACTGAACTGTCAGTGCCCTGCTACCTTGGGCCCAAGCACTAAACTGCCAACCCAGTTGGCTAAGTATCACCAAGGTAGTCCTCAGTCGCCCTGAGCACCACTTGGGAGGATTCCTGCCCAAAGGAAGACATTGTTTATTGAAAAAACGAAGATGCTTATATGAAATGTTCTATGACCCACCAAGGTGCCTTAGAAACTTGGGTTCAGTGAATGACTCATATTTCACTGCTTCCTCCAAATCATGCCCCACAGTGCATTAACTGAAGATTGGGGTGTATGATTCTGAGTCCATGTGGATTCTAATCCAGATCCACCCAGGGTATAATTTTGGATAATGATTTTACTTCTCAGCTTCAGTCTTGTTTTCAGTTAAATATGATGTGCTTTTTTAAAAAAATAAAAAATATCTTACACGGATGTTATCAGGAATAACCACAACTGGCCTTTAAACAAAGTAGAGCAGGCTGTGTTCTATAAACATAAGCAAAGCCTATTTGGTGTAAAGTCTTTTGGGTAGTGTGATAGTAATATTTAAGCTTCTGTGAAAATATGCAAGTCTTACTCCCAAAACTTAACTGACCAAAGACAGGGCAAGGAATTGCATTCCTGGAGAACAATAAATGATAGAATAACAGAGTCCAACATCCCTGAAGTGATATACCTTAGAGAAGCTCCATCAGGTGCCAAGACTCTTGCCACTGAGCCTAATTCTGCCCCAGAAAGTCTGACTTTCTAAAAACGCCAAACAAGGACCAAGAGTGACCCAGTCATGACTACAGATATAGAAAAGCAACCTACTTTGTAATTCAGAACAGTGACATTGCCAGTAGGGCCACATGGCAGAGAAAAATGTTTCCTGCCATTATCTATCTTCACCTTCCTTTTTACTTCTTCATTTCTGTTCAACCAAGTCAAATAAATGGTACACACAAGGAGCCTCTCTTAAGGACAACCATGTAAGAATCCATTGATAGGTTCATTGAACCCAATTACACAATTTAAAAAATCAAGCATACATTAAGACCAAGAGTCAATTTAATGTATTGTTTTTGGTGCATTTTTCCTTGCCAACAGAATAAAACAGAAAGTGAAAAATAATAAAACTGGGAAACTTAAGTACAAAATGCAAGATACATACAAATCTATATTTAAGTCTAATGTGCTGAGGGATCTTCTTGGAGAAAAATATTTCATTTCAAGTTGCCAACAGTTCAGATACAAATGCAGTATGTTCCTTGGCCCAGAAGCCTAATTATGCAGGTAGCAAGTAGTCATCAAAGTTATTCTTTGTTAAGACTTCTATTTCAGAATCAAGCGTGCTTTGGCAGCAGTAATCAATATACTTAGTGCAGGTATACGAACCAAGGAAAAGACATAGTGGAAAAATACAAAATATTTAATCTACTGAATCTAGCAGGTCCTACTGAATAATACATATGCTGCATACTTATGAGCTGTAGCCCGTGATTGTGGAAAATTCACTACAGAATAAAAACAAACACTGTGTACTACATTTAGTATACAGCATGCCTTTTCTGCTCAGTATAAGAAAAATTGACTATCCAGCAGATAATGGGACTGATAGTAGCAATGTGGTAGGATGTTGATCTTTTTTCCTTTTTGCCCCCAAATAAAAAATAAAATGTTGTCATTGTATATCCCAATTAAACTGCAGTCCATTTCAAAATTCATCTTCAGAGCTGTCAGCTAAGAGCATCACTCGATCTTGCATGCTGTTGAATTCTCGCTGCTGGAGAAAGAAAACAGAAAAGCAGAAAAGTGTTAAACTCTAATACAGAACAAAGCGAGAAACACCCACCTCCCCTTTAAAAGACAGAAAGCAGCTTCTGCTGATCCGAACCACTGGGCATGTCAATAGGGTTCATGCATCATTAAACCCAGTGTGCTTTATTAGGCAAATTACATAAGCTACAGTGGGCGCAGGTTCTGCAGCTGATTAGGTTTTGCTCTTGTTGGTTTCATACCTTTCTTTTATGCCTTTTGAAGCCATTCCTCCTTCGGCGATTCATAACTTTAATGCTGTAGAGCGCTCCCAAGATAAACAAGGCTCCTGCTATCCCAACCCCTACAGGCACCAGCATCCCAGACATGTACCCAGCCTGCATGGAAAAGGAAACAGATATTAGGATGCAAACCAGACCACTGTACTGGGCTTCTCACTTCTGCTACATGGCAGCTGGTTTTTAGACAGCCAGAATCTTCCTGTTTGCTTTGTTATGAAATCAAACAACACCTTGAATAAAGTGACTTTTTTTTTTAGAAAATTGACAACAGAGAAGGAGATAGAGCTATGACTGTTTTCGTATCTCTAAAACACTTAGACATATGGAAATAAATCAGCCAGACCTAGTGGCACCTCAAGCCACTTGCTCATGCACATTTGTCAGCATCAAGTTTTGGTGACAGAAATATAATTTGTACTAAAGATGAATGAAGTAAGCTTCTGGGGATGCCAGAACCATTAAAATGCTATAAATTGGAAATAATGGTCTGAACTCAGCTCTAGTCGGGGAGGAGTCCCCTCTAGAACACTCTGCTTCCTGGGGGCCAGTAAAGGATCTTGACATTGGAGGCCCACTCTTTCACAGCCTTAACTGCATGCATAAATAAAGGAAAGAGGGATGGGCTTGCAAGTGAGTCCAAAAGGAGAACTTTTGGAAAGATCAAGGGAAGAGAAAGCTTGCAAAGGAAAAATGGGAGAACTTACAAATGTTAGAGCGCAAGCAGAAAAGAAAAAGATATGAAATGGGTAGATGGAGAAAGTGAGTTAATTTATATGAAAATAATTAGCTACCCCTTGGACAGGATCAAAGTTGGAATTGGAAGGAAACTCTGAGCATCCCCAAAAGAGAGAATAGACATAGACAGCATAGACAGCACATAGGTCACTGCCAACAACACTAATACCTGCCCAAGTGCCTGGAGGAATCAATTTAAATGACTCCCATTGTCCCCAATGTCACTAAAGAAAACTCAGTCCTAAGATTGAAGTCAGCTCTCCACATGCCCTGGACTCACACTTACATAAGCTCACGGGAAGGCCCTCACATTAAAAGGTCCAAGAAGGGGCTGGAGCGATATAAGGCATTTGCCTTGCATGCAGCTGACCCGGGTTCAATTCCAACATTCCATATGGTCCCCTGAGCACTGCCAGGAGTAATTCCTGAGTGCTATGAGGGAGGAGCAACCCCTGTGCATCATCAGGTGTGATGCAAAATAAATAAATAAATAAATAAAAGGTCCAAGGATATAGTTCTATGGTAGAACACTACTTGCTGTGCTTATGTGAAGCCCTGGGTTTGATCCCTGACATGGAGGATGGGGAACATCACTTTAAGGGTGCTTCCACATTTTGACCAAGAAAACACTTAAGAGACAGAAAGCACAATTACTAATAAGAGTACTTTTTTTGAAGGACCATAACACAGGGTTTCCCTCAAGAATATTCCTTCTAGAAACCTTCCAGACAAAATATAGAAGCAACTAAAAATTCTGTCAAGCTGCTCTATGTATTACTGGGGATGTGGGGACTATGGGTTTTCTCATTCATTTCACTATTTCTAAAATTACTAATAAGGCATAAACAATTTCCAGAATCTTTTTAAATGACATAAGAACAGAAAGACCCAGAAAACAAAAAATAATTGTTTTCAAAGTGCTCAAGAAGACAGGCTATATTTCTAGAAGTAAATCAAGCAGTAGAAAAGACCATGGGAAACTGCAACCCTTCTTCTTATTCATAGCCCCTCACTCATTGGTTCTGATTCCAAAATATGTTAGGGTAAAATATGGAATTTTCCATTAATTTGAGAACAATAGCATTGTTCACCAGCATACTAAGTGTTTTTCCCCAAGAAACAAAACCTAGTCCTTTTCAACAAATTAAAATGCTTTGCAGAAACCCAAACTTCTTCTCAAGTTCTCCCAGATCTGCTTAAGGCTTACAAAATTCTGTAATTTTCCATGTGAGAAAACACTGGACAACAGCAAAGTAGTGATGCTCTCACTAGAGTGTGACTTTTTGTTCACCGTTTCTTTTGTGTTGTATTGTGGTTTTTTTTGGAAAATATGACTTCACCATCTACTTAATAAATGCACTCCATTTTCAGTTTTAGAGTTGCAACTATTCTTATAAATGACAGCTTCTCTAAGACTGTTTCAGTCTCTAACAGAGCATGAGAATCAAAATACAGAATTTGGCACCATCATGAGTAGAGAAATCACCCAGCTCAGCAACCTAGCATCCTTGCCTGGGACTCCAGCATTGTACTCTGCCTTAGCCCCTTCTCTCTTTCCTCTTTACTTTCTTTAAACCTGTTCAGCTGGTCCCTTCCTTTGACCTCCAGCCGTGTGAGGAGTCTGAGGCAACTCTGGAACCAGAAATTCTCTTTGATTCTTCACTTCCCAAACCTAAGGCTTTCAAGCACAATCCTGAACCATAACAGCGAAGCAAATTCTGCATCTGGACATGATTTCTCAATTTTTGCAAACAATTTCTTTTCATCGGCTGGAGTTTTCTTTCATTGTCAGGAAGAAAGAATGATTGAAGGCAATGATAGCATGACTGTTTTAAAATCACCATTCCCGATGTGTAGAAATATTCATACATGTTCAAGGAGCATTGACATGTAACCTGGTAGATTTAGCCTTACTGAGCCGGCTTCAAAGGATGATTTCTGGGATTTGGGAAACTCAACTTGATCTGTCACTATGAGGGCCTCCTCATTTTTTGTGACTTCACATAAATCTTACTGGCTGTGTCACTCTCACCATACGTCTTATTTTTGCATTTAGAATTCCTATTTATAGAATATTAAGTCATATAGATTCTACCCAAAAAAATCATTTACCCTCTTCTCCTCTTTATTTTTGTCCCCTTGTGAATGCCTGGGGGACATACACACCTGCCTGGACTTTGAGATTAGAAGTAATTACTAAATGATCACAAAGCTACCTATCTTCTTCAAATATAATTTAAACATTTTGCTTTCAAAACTAATTCTATTTAGTGTTGGGAACTCTGATGACAATGAGGTGTGGTAACTGTACATTGAAATCATTTAAATACTATTATAGTAAACATGTTACCTAAACAGTTAGAGATAATACTAACTCCAGCACCTATATTGTTTTAAATCATGAATCATGAAAGAAAAATAATGCTATATAAATGTTCCAGGTTAAGGTAAATTAAAGAAACATGATAAATATGTGGCCAGAGAGATAGCACAGTCCCGAGGCACTTCTTGCATACTGCCAGCCTGGTTCAATCCCCAGCACTGCATAAGGTCCCCCACGCAAAGTCAATGATCCCTTAGCAAAGAATGAGGAGTAATCCCTGAGGAGGAGTAATCCCTGAAAATCCTCAAAAGCTAAAAAAGGAAAAGAATAACTAAACGTGTTATCTGACACTAGATACATAATACTGCTAGACAGAAATGAGGAGAATGCTAGAAAAGTAGTCGGGAAAATAACGCTTTGATAAAAGACATTTGGGAACTACTGAAGAATAGACTAAAATTAAAATTCAAGGTTTTTTATAAATATGAATGCATTCACATTAATTACCATATCTTTGTTTGCTAACAGAATGGAAAGCCAAGTTAAGACTTTTCTAACAAGTGTTATTTCTTGGACATTTAGCCAAAAAGACAAGTAGTGACGAAATGATTCTATCACTATATAAACTGTTCCTCAATAGCCATTATCCGCTTTTTTTAGGGAAAATGGGTTTCCTGTTTCAGCTGAGCACAGGGAAAAAAATTGTTTGACCATAGAGAATCTCACTAAAAGAAGATATATTAGGGGCACAGGAAATCTCAAGAAAATGCTCTGTGAGGGGGGTGCAGTGCTCTGAACAGGTTAACTTGTACCTTGAAGCAAGTGCATCAGCAGTCTAATGGTTCCTTCAGGTTTCTTGATACTCCAAAATTGCCACGGTGCCTCTGGCCAGACCCCAACAACTTGGGACCAATTTTCCCAATAAATTAAATAGCCAAGGGGCTGGAGCAATAGCACAGCAGGTAGGGCATTTACTTTACATGCAGCCGACCTAGGTTTGACTCCCAGCATTCCATATGGTCCCCTGAGCACTGCCAGGAGTAATTCCTGAGTGCATGAACCAGGAGTAACTCCTGTGCATCACTGGGTGTGACCCAAAAAGCAAAAAATTAATTCATTAATTAATTAATTAAATATCCAAAAGTTATATATATGTGGGAGCGACATCCACAAACCACCTCCAACTCAGCTATACAAGCTTATTTATCAGCCTTCCTTCAGAGATCCATAAATAAATATCTAAAGAAAAAAAACTCAATTAATCTCAGTACTGCAGGTTTTGTGACTGAAATCTTCAGACTTTCTTGCGGTCAGAACAGGCTACCTCCCTTCACCTCCCTGCCGGAAGCCTCAGTAGTCACATCCACATCCCAAAGCTGCCAACCAGTTAAAAATTAAAAAAAAAAATCCATTCCAGCCTTACCTTCCCGATAAAAATACTAAATGCCCAAAACAAACATGATGACCTCTTAGTACCTGTATTGCAAACCATAATGCACAAAGGGAGAGAGAGAGAAAGAAGAAAAGTGTCTGCCATAGAGGCAGGCAGGAATGAGGAGGGGAGACTGTTGGTGGATGCTGGGTAGGGAAACTGTGAACACTATGGGTGGAAAATGTACACTGGTAGAGGGATGGGTTTTGAATCATTGTATGACTGTAGCCGAATTATCAACAACTTTGTAATGGTCTATCTCATGGACATTTAATTGAAAAAATTTTTTAAAGAAAGAAAATGCTGTGCGAGAGGGGAGCAGAGTCTCTGTCCTCCCCTTCAACATTAGCAAGTTTCAGTCTCCCTGCTAAGAGGGGTAACTATCTTTTGCTTCCTCTTCTCCTCTTTCTTCTGCCTAGAATCTGGATCTACCAAAGTTAGAACTTAGAAACATGAGGTGACCTCATGAATGGATGTGGAGCACCATAAATGGGAGAGCCTCACCTGGAAGGAGACTGAGCCCCAGGGTGACTCCCTGATAACCTGTGAGTGCTCCTTCAGACTCAAACCCGAGAGTCAAATTTCATCTTATTTAAGTCATCGCCA